TCAGTGTAGTGGAATGGACTTCCTTGTAACTACAGGTGCTATTTTCATTGCTCATAAGAAGTCTGGTTGTAGAACTGCAAGATGATTCCCTAGAAAGAGGGATCAAAAAAGACCTGGGGGGAAGGGCCTTAGGTAATGATTTGATCAAGGAAATCTATAATTAGGGTCCCTTTGATCAGAAAGGGATGCTTCCTATTCCCCAGCCCCTGAGACATATCTGCAAACCGGATGCCATTTCATAGTGTGAAAATCACTGGCTAGAGTGACAGACAAAGAAGCCAGTCTTTTCTAGTCAAAGATAAAGCACCTTTCCTGTCTTCCCTGATATCTTCCCTCTCAACCATTCATCCATAGATTCCCCAATAGACATTAAATAAAAAGAGTATATAGAAATCTGCATGCTATGAGAACATATATGTTCTTCATCTAGACAAAAGCTCCAGGAAAGGCCTTCACGAGTAAGTAAAATTCAAACTTAGACTATAGGTATTAGGAGAAAAACAGGAGGCCTGGCCAGATGGCATGTGCATGTGTGTGTGTGTGTGTGTGTGTGTGTGTAGTCCTCCTGGCAAAGGAAACAGCATACATAAAAGTATATAAGTGAACAACCTAGAGGGTGGGATGGGGCTGGGGGTGGGAGGGAGGTTCAAGAGGAAGGGGACATAAGTATGCCTATGGCTGTTTCATGTTATATATGTCAGAAACCAACACAGTACTGTAAGCAATTATCCACCAATTAAAAATAAACAAACTTTAGAAAGAATTAATAAAGTATATAAGTGAGAAAACCAATGAAAACCATTGTTACACTGATACAATGATGTTGAGATTTATTCTAGCTTTATAAATTCTCCAGTAGTGTTATTTTGTTATCCTATCCTTTTCACCATTTTTTATCCATGAATAATAAAACCCTAAAAAAAAAAGAAGTACTTGAAGGGATTGAATTCTTTCAGAGATAGCAAAGTAGTAGAAAAACTAGAATGAACTTTTATTTGATAGCTGGCTGGGGATGCAGATGAAACTAAGTGAGGGATTACAGGTAGTAATGACTGGGAAAGAATAGCAAATATCATGAGGGAAATAGGTAGAAAATTGGAATTTTCTCCATAGTTATATACTCTTTCCCCTCCCCCTAATGCTCCAAAAGAATGGATTTTAAGATGGGGAGAGTACAGAAATGTTCTAGCAATTACCCATTTTCAGGATGACAGAATTTCATCTCATAAAAAAAAAAAGAATTCCATATTATATGCAGACTCCTTGCAACTGGAAGGACATTGCTTGGAGCTTGGAGCACTAGGCTGAGACATATTCTGAGGTTGGAGGTTAGGAGGAAAGAGTGCAGTGACCATATAGCCATAGTTATGGAAGCGGGTAAGGCACCCAGCATGCTGTGTGTTGCTTCTGTTATCCAGATCACAGGAGGGCACCTAATTTGAGCTAATAATAACTTCCTAGCTGAAAGTGCTAGTGCTACTGAGTTTTCTAAATCATTTGTTCACCTAAAGAACTCTACTACTATGAAATACTATTCTTAGGAAGTTGGAATGAGGTATGGAAGGAACAGAAGATAGGGACTAAAGTTCTATCTCTGGTTCCACTATTGTTTGACTGAGGGTTCTGACAAAGACTGACAATCTTTGGGCCTTGGATTTCTCACTCATGAACTCTAATCACATTACTAACTCCAGATTTAATTTCCACTCCATTGTTTGACTACAAATATTTTGACTATAGGTATTTTCCCAACCAGTGGATGCAATGAATAGTAGAGACTGCCAAATGTAAATATCTTCGGTCTGAGCTCCTCTTCTTTTCAGTAATAGAACCTTGTTCCCATTAACCAAATTTTAATAAGGCATACACATGGCCACTTGTTTAATACTACATTTCTCATCCTCAGTGATACTTAGCTGTGTGCACATGACAATATACTAAGCAATGAAAGGTATACAACTTCTGTGTCACTTACCTAACAAGAAATTGCTTGTCTAGCACTACCTCTTTTCTTTTTCCTATGAACTGAAATGTGAACAGGGCACTGGTGAACCAACTTTGACCAAACAGACTACAAATAAAACACTTGAGGAGGTTGATATTAGAGCAACAGGTCAAAGAAAACAGTGCTCCTGGCTATTCCCATGAAGAGAGCTTCCTACCTCTCTGGAGACAGAAATTAGCTTCTTGCCTGCTTGTATTTTTCAGTCTCTTTTTAATCACAATTTAGTAAGACCCCAGCTAATTTACAAACTCAAATGTCTAGAGGAACCACAAAGTCAATAAAAATCAATGAATTATCTCGATGAGGACTGCCCAAGTCTGGAGAACAAAGGTTGTCCTATCTGAAGGAACAATCATAAAAAAATTGTCCCACAACCACATGGGGATGTAGGTCTAGGGTTTCCATTTCTGCTAATTTATCAGGAGATCTGGATTCTCAAGTAAAATCTTCAATTTTTATAAAATCTTGGCAACTAAAACAAAAATTTTAAAAAATTAGCCACAGGTTAAACAAAATGCCTCTCTATGACTCAAACCTATAACCTAGATTATGACATTCTATTAATTATGAGACAATATTGAATACAAAATGCACGAATACACCATCCTCTTAACAACAGGATCCTTTCCAAAAGAAAAAATGCCAAAAGGAAACTTTATCAATTACGTGTATACACTGACTGCCAGGTATACCTTGATATCAGGAATGTTAAAATACAAAAAATACGCATCCTTTTTGTTGTTGTTTAGTTGCCAAGTCATGTCTGACTCTTTTGAGTCCCCATGGACTGGAGGCTGCCAGGCTCCTCTGTCCACAGGATTTCCCAGACAAGAATACTGGAGTGGGCAGCCATTTCCCCTCCAGGGGATCATCCTGGACCAGGGACTGAACTGACATCTCCTGGATTGGCAAGCAAATTTTTTGCCACTGAGTCACCAGGGAAGTCCTCACACATCTTTATAAGGTTGGATAAATTTAGTATGTTTTTGGACAAAATCCTAAATTTGACAAACATTCCAGTTAATAACAATGAAAATGTAATATAATGAGCCAAAATTCTTCAATCACCCTCAACTCTGCAATAGGAAGCAGTTAGACAGCTTGTAAAGTCAACAACTGCAACCCACACGATACCTGCATTATCAAGAACTCAAATATCCCACACCCATTTGATTGTCTATGACATTAATTGTGGACTTTTATATTTATCTTTTTCTTCATTTCAATGCTGTGTAGCCACTCATAAAGATACTTTATAGTGAATTTACTCTATGACTTTTGAACTTAATAATGTGGCAAAATGCACAGTCAGTATGAACATAAAGAGCTAATCATTTTAATTAAGAAGTAATTCCAGACACACCACCTCTGACCCATTAGAATCAAAGGTAACTAAACTTACTTCTGAGCCTCAAATTAGGAAAGAAAACATTTATGGAACCAAAACCTTCCCAAAATACTTAATACATTACACTGCTAAGTTTATCTTCTGTGGTTCCTTTATATCAACAAGCAAGTGCACACCCACACCAGCTTGAGCAAGGCAAGGCTGTGAGACAATAAGAAGCAGTGTTGTGGGGTGTGATGGATAGAGTCAGAAGGTGGCCACAAAGGTTTGTCTGAACCCGGTGCCCCTATGTGGGTAGCCCTCTGAAAGTCAAATAGGAAGGCTCTAGAAGAATGGTGCTGAGTACACTGTATGTACTTACTGGACCATTCCCCAGTCTTCACTGGCACTGACCTAGACCATGATTCATCTGTTCATTTTTTAAATCATTCAAATTTATAGAGAAAATAAGACATTTAAAACTGACTTTTCAGGGAGAATGGATACACCATGATATGGTTGTTGATAACAACTTCAGATATGCAGATGACATCACTTTAATGGCAGGAAGTGAAGAACAAAGGGCCTCTTAATGATGGTGAAAGAGGAGAGTAAAAAAAAACTGGCTTAAAACTCAACATTCAAAAACCGAAGATTATAGAATCTGGTTCCATCACTTCATGGCAAACAGATGGGAGAAAAGTGGAAGCACAACAGATTTTATTTTTTGGGGCTCCAAAATCACTGTGACAGCAGCCATGAAATTAAAAGACGCTTGCTCCTTGGAAGAAAAGCTATGATAAACCTAGACAGAGTATTAAAAAGCAGAGACATTATTTTTCCAACAAAGGTTCGTATAGTCAAAGTTGTGGTTTTTCCAGTAGTCATGTACGGATGTGAGAGTTGGACCATAAAGAAAGCTAAGCTCCAAAGAATTGATGTTTTTGATCTGTGGTGCCAGAGAAGACTCTTAGGAGTCCCTTGGACAGCAAGCAAGATCAAATCAGTCAATCCTAAGGAAAATCAACCCTGAATATTCCTTGGAAGGACTGATGCTAGAGCTGAAGTTCCAATACTCTGGCTACCTGATGTGAAGAGCTGACTCATTAGAAAAGACCCTGATGCTGGAAAAGATTGAGGACATGAGAAGGGTGTGACAGAGGATGAGATAGTTGGAAGGCATCATTGACTCAATGGACATGAGTTTAAGCAAATTGTGGGAGATAGTGAGGGACAGGGAAGCCGGGTGTGTTGCAGTTCATGGGGTCACAAAGCGTAGGACAGGGCTTTCACAAAGGGTAGGAAGGGCTTAGTGACTGAACAACATTCGTATGCTGAGCCCCTTCATCATTCACCTGAAACTATTACAACATTGTTAATGGGCTATACTCCAATATAAAATTTAAAGTTAAAAATAAATAAGTAAATAAAATTGGCTTTTAAAAATGGGCCACATGACTTAAATACTGAGAATCAAGACACAAACAAGGAATTTTAAGTTTCTTTGTTTCTTAAAAGCTCTTCATTTGTTCTGTTGAGAATACTCAGTCAGTCAAAGGAAGTTCACTATTATGTATGATTTTCAGTATCTGCCTGAGTGAAGAAGATAGAAGGTTTAGTTTAAATTCCGTAGCTTAGTTTTGTTGGTTTTTTTGTTTCTGTTTTTACCTCTTTATATGCTGCAGTGCATTCATAGTAGTCTCTGGAAGGCAGGCCAAGTTGAGGTTGGTCAATCTATAAAAAATGTACAAAGAAGAAAATATTCAGTTGATATAGAACAGTTTGACAAATTATAAGCATGCCTACCTATGTGTAAGCATGATCTTAGTGTTCTTGCTCTATGTAACAAGCTAACACTGAGTGAATATACAATTAAGAAGTGGTTTCCACAATACGTCTCAGTGTTAAACTGATGGATAGGTGAGACAATCTGGAAGATCATACTACAGATATTTGAGAGAAACTGATGAAATCTTAAACCCACAAAAACCATATGGGGAAGGAGTTGAATGTGTAAGAATGGGAGAGATGAACAAATACATATTAGAATCTAGGTCTGGGGAGTTTTATACTTTTATAGGACATTTCAGGTCCCTGAGCTTCTAATATACTCCCTTGCTGGATTTTCTTCTGCCCCTACCCTTAACTGTAACGGGAAAAAAAAAAAAACAAATAAAAGGTAGAAAACCTCTATGGTGACTCAAGAAATTCTAAGCTAGTAGAAATCTTGCCAGAGATTTTTTTGAGACTCTCTACCCTAAGAAGGGGCTTCCTTGGTAGCTCAGTTGGTAAAGAATCTTCCTGCAATGCAGGAGATGGGGGTTCAATCCCTGGGTCGGGAAGATTCCATGGAGAAGGGAATGTGTCAGTATTTTCGCCTGGAGAATCCCTATGAAGAGGAGCCTGGTGGGCTATAGTCCATGAGGTGACAAAGAGTCGGACATGACTGAGCAACTCACACACACACACACACACACACCCCCTAAGAGGACAGAGGAGTCCTCTTCAGTTCTCTTTGGGGCTGCCCTGCTCAGGACGTCAGCAGACCCAGCTGCCAGCTGAGTGTATGGAAGAGGTAACCCATCTCTGCTCCAGCACTGGGTCCACTCCACCCTGGATCCCCCAGGAAAGCGCCTAGACATCCATCCTTGCAGCTTTGTGAGATTGCTTCCTACATGCTGCACGGTAAGTGGGTAAAGTAAACTAGAGTATTTGTGGGTGGAAGTGAGGATCCTAGCAGTGTAAAGAAACAGGGCAGTATAAAAGAAACAGAACCCAGAAGACTGGCGGGGAAAGAGCCAGAAGGCATCCCCACAGGAGGGGCCCTGTTCCTTCTCTAACCTTCTGAGCGTCCTTAGCAACCCTCGTAGGGTGATCAAGCAGGATGCTGGCATTCCTCAGCCAAGGGAGAGACTCTAGGAAGACAGACAGGGTCCACTGCAGACAAGAGTCAGGTTCAACTGTTTTCATGGTTTTAATAAAAATGACCCTAAGGATTTATATAACTGTGACATACATAAGCTTCTGTGACCTGTAACTTTCAGTAGTTTCTTTTACAGGAGACTAAAGAAAAGCTCTGTAAATGTTTTACTCCATTCTAAACATACTTATTAAGTACTAATCTCATCTTAGGAGATGTCTTAGGTTAACCTAAATGAATAGTTTATACTCTAAAAAAAAAAAAATCAAATAAAGCCCTTTGAGAAGAATGACATTTTGCTTACTTTAACTGGGAAAAAAAAGTACAGATGTAGCAAGCATCAAAATTATGTTCGAAATCCCATTTTTATGATCTTTTTGCAGTCAATTAGGAATTTCTGATTTCCAACCTGTATTACTTATATAAACTAGACCATGCTCCTTTCATGAACATACAGAGAAATCAAGTGCTTTTTCTAAACTGTTGTTGTTTAGTCAGTAAGTTGGGTCCAACTCTTTGTGACCCCATGGACTGTAGCCCACCAGGCTCCTCTGTCCCTGGGATTCCCCAAGCCAAGAATACTGGAGTGGGCTGCCATGCCCTCCTCCAGTGGATCTTCCTGCCCAGGAATCAGACGCAAGTCTCCTGTATTGGCAGGTGTATTCTTTACCACTGAGCCACCAGGGAAGCCCCTTTTCTAAACAGAAGAGACCTGCAGTCTTTAACTTCTTATCATTTATTTTTATAAAGGGAGAGCTATCTAAACAAAGATGGCAGAAAGGACGGTTGAATGTCTAACACACAGCATCAAGAAAACAGTTTCAAAATTGGAAATCCAGGTATCTGTCCTTGAATTTATTACCACTTTGTTCCTACAATTCAAATAAGAACAAGCCTTATTTCTAAATATCAATAACAACAATGCGTGTGAATGTTTTATCACAATTTAAAGATAACTCTGGCTTCTGGCCATACAAACTTACATGAATTATATGATTCGTAGAGTTTTTATCATCAGTGCCAACAAAAAGATTAATAATGACTTTTTTCCCATATTTAGAATTCAGTTGTGCAATAGATTTCTCAGCTGTCCAAGAAGAACCTGAAGAAATGAAAGGTGAAGTATTATCATTAGATGCTTAATGCATTAATATGATACTACAGTATAGTAATAACAGATTTTGAACAGACGTAATTTTTCTAAAGGGAAGACCGTCTCACCATATTTTTGCTCCCAGTTGTCCAGCGCCACCGGCCAGTCGTAAATATCTGGCAATAGTCTGAGTAGAGGTTCTCCGCCTCGGCTCTCAATAGCAGCTTTTAAGAACAATGAATATAAATATATTATGAAGTCTATGCATGTTTTGGCATACTCCTAATAAAATAAACTAAAGAGCACTTACTCTCATTTATACAAGATCTATACAGCGTCTTTGCTTTCTGCACCGCTGTTACATCTTCAGGTTGGGATTCCTGAAGGGCATCTGAAATGGAGTGTTGGGAAAATGCATCACTGTAATCGCTCATCTGCGGCTCTAAATAACATTTTCCATGCATTTGTGGCTTAAAAAAAAAGCTTCTATGTGTTCATACCTCTCCCATTCTAAAACCCTATGGGAAAAAACCAAACTCCTTATCAGATCATTATTCCTGGTGTAGAAGGAGGAGTTACTTTGATTAGCCAACTTAAATGAAAGTCTTTTTGACCAGATTATTAGTTTCTGGTGAACAGTGATACATACTGCTCTCAGAAGTTACTTTTTCTGATATTGAGATTAAAAAGAAAACAAATTTGTTTTTGGAATTTGGAATTTAATATGATAGTCTTCTTGATGGTTGGAGGGTAATTATTTTTGTGTGATCATACTGTTCATGCTCCAAATGAAATGTTCTACTTGCTTGGATATTAAAAAATAGCAAAAAAATATATATATTTTTTTATTTTTACAAGGTAGCTTCTAAATGAGAACGCAGAACATAGGATAACAAAGGACTAGACACAACTTCCTCAACTTCCCAGGGAGAGTGTCTTGATTATATCTGGATTAGAACAGATTTACCTAGTCTGGGAAATCAAATCTTGGTAATATCTTACAGAAACTTCAACACAGGACCAGGGTAGAAAGAACATGCATGTCCTGTTTAGTGGCAATCATTTAATTTCTCCTGTAAAATGCATAAAGATGCCACTTTCATGGATAATAAAACATTTATCATGTTACATACAAATGAAAGCAAGAATGCTGAGATGCCAACATATTCATTTTGGTGTCTTCCATCCTTAGAGTGACTCAGCAATGGTCCACAAAACTTGGAGGGATTATCAACTTTTGATTTTGTGTGACGCTCCTTGTAATGGCTTTTACACTCCCAAGTAAAATCTTGAAAATGGATGTTATTTAGTTGCTAAGTTGTGTCTGACTCTTTTGTGACCCCATAGACTATGGCCCACCAGGCTCTTCTGTCCATGGGATTTCCCAGGCAAGGATAATGGAGTGGGTTGCCATTTCCTTCTTCAGGGTAATCTTCCTGACCCAGGGGCTTGAACCCACATCTCCTTCACTGGCAGACAGATTCTCTACCACTGAGCCACCTGGGAAGGCCTTAAAATGGATATATCAAGACAGAAATCTTTGATACATAGACCTAAACTTCACTAACCTTTCAAGACGACTTCTAATTCATCTCTTAAAATGTCAAAGTTACTGTAACGAGAGCTGGTCTCAGGAATGACGTTGCGTTTCAACCAGCCTCCACAAGCATATTTGAAAAAGTCTGCACAAGGCTCAACAGTGGCATCCATGTTCTGGATCAGTCGAGCGGCTGAAAGACCAGAGAAAGGATGAGATAAAGTGAAGGGTTTGTTTCGTAAGTAGTTTGGAAGGGGAGAAAAAAAAGAGACACGTTACTTCTTTATGATCAAGTCAACTGGACCGATGCTCTTCTTTTCACTTGTGGAACTGTGGACTTAGGTTGAATGATGAATATTATGGCTGGTTTTATTCTTGAGAGGTCTGGGTCCTCCTATCCTGCATCTTACCTCTTTCTTTAAACAACCAAGCGTCTCTCTAGTTTCTACCTCAGATGAAAGAAAGAATGCAGGCCTGCTTTAGCTGTTCCTGGGCCTGGGCCTGCAGTCACTCTTCACTCTGAGAACTTTGGCTGCTGACTTTGTTCTTCAAGGTGCTGTGACCTTTGAACATCTCTGAGGCTCTAAGGCATGTGGGACGGTTAATAGATTTTATTGTTTCAGTAAAGATCTGAAGCTACAGTTAATACTTCTTGGACTCTACTTACAAAACTTCTGCAGTTCACACTGGATATCCAATTTGCATTTGTTTATGTAGAGTCTGTCATTATAAAATTAGCTGTAAGCTTGTTAGTTTTTCTTTCATCCATGATTTTATCTTTGAGAATTATGATGAAAAAATAAATCAACCAATGTTGAGTATTTACAATGTGCAAAACACCGGACTATACTAGGTGTCTCAGTTAATAGAAAGAGGCATAAAGAGAAGATGTACAAAGAGAAAAATATTATATTATGTACAGGACTGCTGTGCTCACAAGTTCTACATCTGGAATAGTGAGAAAACCCTACCATTGCCCTCCCCACATTCTTTCTCATACAAGTTGAACTGTTCTGCAGGGAAAACAAAAGAGCAATTGAGAATTCATCTGCATCAAGAGAGTATAAGTTCTCAAGTGAGCTTTTGAAAATCCTTTGCCTTTTGAATAAATTAATTAATTAAACACTTTTAAAGAACTGCTGAGCTGAGTGGATTTTTCCAGCTTGGAATCGTAAATCTGTCTGCCAGCTGAGCCTCGAGCCCCCGCTTCTGACCACTTCTGGACACATTTGCCTGGCTGTCATCTTAGTCTCCATCTCTTTAAGACTAAACTCTCTGTTCTGTTCAGTTCAGTTCAGTTCAGTCACTCAGTCATGTCCGACTCTTTGCGACCCCATGAACCACAGCACGCCAGGCCTCCCTGTCCATCACCAACTCCCGGAGTCCACCCAAACCCATGTCCATCGATTTGGTGATGCCATCCGACCATCTCATCCTCTGTCATCCCCTTCTCCTCCTGCCCTCAATCTTTCCCAGCATCAGGGTCTTTTCAAAGAAGTCAGCTCTTCGCAACAGGTGGCCAAAGTATTGGAGTTTCAGCTTCAACATCAGTCCTTCCAATGAACACCCAGAACTGATCTCCTTTAGGATGGACTGGTTGGATCTCCTTGCAGTCCAAGGGACTCTCAAGAGTCTCCTCCAACACCACAGTTCAAAACCTCAATTCTTTGGTGCTCAGCTTTCTTTATAGTCCAACTCTCACATCCATAGATGACCACTGGAAAAACCGTAGCCTTGACTAGATGGACCTTTGTTGGCAAAGTAATGTCTCTGCTTTTTAATTTGCTAAGTTGGTCATAACTTTCCTTCCAAGGAGTAAGTGTCTTTTAATTTCATGGCTGCAATCACCATCTGCAGTGATTTTGGAGCTCAGAAAAATAAAGTCTGACACTGTTTCCCCATCTATTTGCCATGAAGTGATTGGCCCTGATGCCATGATCTTAGTTTTCTGAATGTTGAGCTTTAAGCCAACTTTGTCACTCTCCTCTTTCACTTTCATCAAGACGCACTTTAGTTCTTCTTCACTTTCTGCCATAAGGGTGGTGTCATCTGCATATCTGAGGTTACTGATATTTCTCCTGGCAAACTTGATTTGAGCTTGTGCTTCCTCCAGCCCAGCGTTTCTCATTATGTACTCTGCATATAAGTTAAATAAGCAGGGTGACAATAGACAGCCTTGATGTACTTCTTTTCCTCTTTGGAACCAGTCTGTTGTTCCATGTCCAGTTCTAACTGTTGCTTCCTGACCTGCATACAGATTTCTCAAGAGGTGACTCAGGTGGTCTGGTATTCCCATCTCTTTCAGAATTTTCCAGTTTATTGTGGTCCATGTAGTCAAAGGCTTTGGCATAGTCCATAAAGCAGAAATAGATGGTTTTCTGGAACTCTTTCGCTTTTTTGATGATCCAGCGGATGTTGGCAATTTGATCTCTGGTTCCTCTGCCTTTTCTAAAACCAGCTTGAACATCTGGAAGTTCACGGTTCACGTATTGCTGAAGCCTGGCTCGGAGAATTTTAAGCATTGCTTTAATAGCATGTGAGATGAGTGCAATTGTGCGGTAGTTTGAGCATTCTTTGTATCACCTCCAAACCAGTCTTCTCTGGATGTTTGTACTTTGGCATGCAGTACAATTGTTATCACAGCCTCCCAGGTTTGAAATCTTGAGTAGAATTCTGTATTTCATGCTCTCCCTTGGGCTATCAGTAACTCTTTTGCCTCTTTCCTATACTCTAGACAATCAACGTCAACCTAGTTTACATCTTCATCCCTTTTGACTAGATGTCACCCAACTACTCCTCTTGCTATTCATAGTATTATCTCTCTACTTCTATACATATGTTGCACATCTTTCACAGGTTAAACTTCCCCGAAGACCACTTTGCTCTAGCTACTCCGTTGTTCAAAAATGTCAGTAGCTTGACACTGCCCAGGTTAAATTACGAACTCTTTAACTTGGCTAATCAAAAGTCTCTACCTTCTCTCGATTCTCCTCTTTGGGTTTTCACAAAAACACTGTACTTCGGCCAGGTGGGTTTTGCCCCATGGACCACAAACTCCTGTGCTTCTCTACTCTGCATCTTTGTTTCTCTCCTCCCCACTCCCCCCTTTTAAATAACAGTTTTATTGGGGTACAGGTCCTTTGCACTGTTGTGTTAGTTTCCCTGTACAGCAGAGTGAATCAGCTGCACATAAATATATATTCCCTCTTTGTCACCACAGAGCCGCTGGTCGAGTTCCCTGGGCCATGCAGTAGGTTACTGTTAGTTATTTTATACATAGTAGCATATACATGTCAATCCCAGCCTCCCAGTTCATCCCACCTTCTCTTCCCTCACCTTGGTATCGGTATGTTTGTGTCTTTATTTCTGCTTTGCAAAATAGGTCCATCTGTACCATTTTCCTAGATTCCACATTTATGTGTTAATATATGATTTTTTTTTTTCTCCTTCTGACTTACTTCCCACTGTATGACATGCTCAGGGTTTACCCACGTCTCTGCAAATGGCACAATTTCGTTCCTTTTTTATGGCTGAGTAGAAACTTGACCCTTTTAACTTCTCCTCCTATTCCTTCCAAATTCTACCCACTATTCAAGGTTCAGCTTCTGTCCCATCTCTTCCAAACCATAGGGAAAATTTCTTTCTCTGAACTCCTGGGAGTCACTGTCTCACTCAGTCTTAAATGCTCTAGATTAAGCTGTTTTGAATTTCTCATACGAATACCTGCTGAGTCTTCCTAACCACTCTGTTGATGAACTCAACCTCTTTGTACTCCTGTCACCTGGAATGTTCAGTAAAATGCGTTAAGTTTGTATGATGACATTACTGAATCATCAATGAGTCCCTTTACTTGTTCCTCCTACACATCTCCTTCCCCAGTTCCTGCAGGTCAGACCAGTTCTCATTTCAAAGCCTCCAGAGTCAATCCCATACTTTCAGTTCCCACTGTTCCCACTCTTTCTCGGTCCTTCCTCTCTAAGGGTATATTCATGCCTTTTCACCAAAGTATGGCCCCAAGCCACTCCCCATGCCATCCATCCTGAGTGTCAATTGGATTCACACCATCCTAGCATTTCAGCATGCCGTTTTCCACTCCAAAGTATTCAATATTTCACTACAAAGTATTCAATCCTCTCACATTCATAATAAAATACAGATTCATAGCACATTCTAACCTTAATATACCTAGAGAAGCTTCTCTCACCACTTTCTTACATTGGCCATCTGCCCCAACTAAATGAATGTATTCATTTTATGCTATGAAACATCTTACAGTTCTCCATTTCTGTAACTTTGACTATGTTGTCTCAACCCTTGTCAAAATATCCTTTTTTATTTTTTCACATTCAGAAATTTCAGGCTCGTTCATGGCTCAGTTCAAATCCTTTTTCTTCATGAAAGACCATCCCTACAAAGCCCATACTGACTGGACATTCATTTTTCTGTTGGAAAACCCATTGCCTCTTCACCTGGATTGTGTTTCCCGTAAAGGCAGAGATACAATGTCCAGTTTTCTCTCAGAGCCTAACATTGTGCTCGATCAAGACTTGTCAGTAAAAACTCTAACTTGAAACTGCAGATAAAGATTAAAGAAATAGATCCCAAAAAGGTAGAGAGAAAATGAAAATCTCTTAAACTTTTAAGGAAATGAAAATATGACAGTGGAAATAAAAATAAAGACCCTAAATAGTAGAAGATTATTATGTAAAGTGAAAAGCCAGAAAACTGGAACCTGAAAGGACTACTACCTAAAGACATTCTCAGCACACATTTTTTTTAGTGATTTTATACAACTCTTGTCTTTCAACACACTTTAAAAAATGTAAGCTGAATGTTGTAAAGGCAACCACCATTTTGAAAGCACTTCTACTTTCTTCTATTCTCTGAGGAAATAGATGGTTTCTATCCTAACACCACAAAGAGCCATAGACTCCTAGTCAGGAGGGCATCGAACACATACTGACCCACCCTGAATGAAAAGGAGGAGCAGTGGCTGAAGTTCCACATTCATGAGTGCAGACACATGCCACGTTCACACAGCTTCACCTCCCACAACGAAAAGATGATCCTTCCCATCTTTGGTTGAATTCCTCACTTGATACCCACTGAAACCACTTACATCTGGACAACAAACCAAAGAAGCAGCATTCAAGCCATTTGTGAGGTATGTGCAGACGAGAGAGAGAGAGAGAA